AACTGACGTGTTTCACTTATCAATTCACAATATGTTTCGGCCCAGACAGGCTAATGTGGCGTAGAGATCCGTTACTAAGCGGTAACTCTGTGAACAATAGCCGTTGCTTGCTAACGGCCGATAAACACTTCAACAATACCAGAGCTATCGCTAGGCAATTGCTCGGCAAACGGGTTCCCGCGGTAAAGGATACGCATAAAACGGCAGAGGTATTGGTGGACTATAACAGTGGAAACAGTGTTTTCTATATTGTTCGTGCAGAAATGTTACAAGCAGGGTCAGTCGAGTTCCGTAGTTGATAGTTGGCAGTTGCGATGGAGGGAATTAGGAGAGTTCTGCACGGGCGACTGTGTCAAGAGGACCTGAGAGCGGGAAGCTAAAGAATCTCCACTGACAGAAGCCGTTGCTAGGGAACGGCTGTTGAAGACACTGAAGGCTAGAGACGATTAATATTCGCAGCGTACAGGTAGAATTGTACCTACGTTAATTGAGCATAACACCATGAACACGTATGGGGGAGTGGAGGTAAATCTCCACGCGTTCTTAATTTCGTCACTAGGTAGAAATTTAATGGCCAGCTTCAAGTATCGGCAGTTTTAACGCCGGCGAAAGAGCCCCCGGTACACACTATCGACTGAATGAGAGGCTCGGTGGGCCCCAGAGCCGGTCTGGACTCTGTGCTGTTTACTGTGAAAACCACACGGAACCCATACACACACGTGCGAGAGCAGAATGCAGAGCAGACCAACTTAAATGGCAAACCACGCGTTACACAGAACCTAACAAACACCGTGCTTTAAAGCACCCGCTATAATACAGCCATCTTAGAGTACTCAGTGCATGCTACATGCACGCAGCAGTATTTTTCTGACGGTACGCGAAAGGTATGTACTTCACACGGCTTGGGAGCCACCAGGATATTTTTCAAAGGGCGGGGGGGGTTACAGAGGGGTGTCGGAACATTTGTTAGGAACACATAGAACTTTTGCATTTTTATTGGTCGCCCTAGAGTTTTGGGGACGAAAAAATATTTTTGTAGATATTTCCAAATTTTGACACTAATTTTAGGTTTCCAAAAATTCTAGGCTAAAGGGGCAGCTGCCTGGTTTACCCTTCTTCCCCTGCCAGAGCCCATATTGAGGCACTTCTCTTTCTTTAAGAAAATTATATTAAAATTTGCTTATAGTTGTCACATTTGCTTATGAATAGCGCCAACTATTTTTTCCAATTAACCAAGAAGAGCACTCTATGGACGAGCACAACCTGCTTCACAACCAAAATATTCAGTATTCGATCCCCGAATCAGCGCAGTTACTTGAACAGAAATGTTAGATATCAAAATAGTGTTCTTACCGTGACTGTACATGGAGTGTGTGTCAGTGGGCCAGGGATGAGGGGGGTGCAGGTACAGAACCTCTGTCTTGAGCTCCTCGTGCCCGATTCGTGGCATTGTGCACCGCACTCACGCTGTATGTGAGCAGAGTCATTGTCAGTCAGGGGCGGCAGCTATGTGACCCGCCGAGCAATGGCACACGCTCGATAAGCTCTGCCTGGTGCTGCCATCTCGGTCACGTGGCCCTGCTACGTCACTCCATTCATCACAACCATGACGTCTCGCTTCCCTACATATAATCATTAGAATTCCCCTCTTCACGTGATATTTTCTCTCCGGTTTTCCCGCCTATAATTATGAATCGTCATGCCGTTTTCTATTCTGATGCGTCTGGAATTTACCAAACTCGTAAAAAGGTAAATATAAATACATGGGCTGTCATCACTCACTCACGGAGCTGAGCCCTTCTTGAGAAGCCGCCAATTCTGCAGGCACTCAAGAACTTCCCAGCATTTCATGGAACCCGAATGTTCATTACCATGTTCACAAGAGCCCTCCACTGATCCCTATCCTGAGCCAGATCAATCCAATCAATACCATCCCATCCTGTCTCTCTAAGTTCTACTTTAATATTGCCCATCCACCTACGTCTTGGTCTTCCTAGTGGTCCCCTTCCTTCCGGCTTTCACATCAACATCCTATATTCATTTCTACCAGCCTCGATTCGTGCTACATGCACTGCCCATCTCATCCTCCTTGACTTGATCATTCTAATTATACTTGGAGAAGAGTACAAGTTATGAAGCTCCTCATTATGCAGTTTTCTCCAACCTCCTGTCACTTCATCTCTCTTCGGTCCAAGATATCTCCTCAACGCCCTGTTCTCAAACACCCTCAGTCTCTGTTCCTCCCTTAATGTCAGAGACCAAGTTTCACACCAATACAGAACCACAGGCAAAATTGTAGTTTTGCATATTCTAATTTTTTGTTTTTAGACAGCGGACGAGAAGACAAAAGGCAGCGGTTGTCATCACATAAACAAATGTTTTTCATTGTTCAGTATGGGCCATCATCAAGAGATCTTGAAGAATACACCACGGGAGACGCAATGCACTCGCCACAATGACAGTGGAGTCTCTTGCTTAGCCTTGGCTGCGTCAGATCCAACTTAATTCTGTACCTACATTATTAAACTTTAACCTCAAATTAAAATTAAAATGTAAATTTGTCCCTGTGCTTAGTTACATGCCATGAAAACATTGGGAGTGGAGGTATAGCTCCACTATTCTTGATCTAGGCACTATACGGAGATGAGTGGTCGGTTTCACGCTCCGACCGCTTTACCCCCGGGGAAAGAGCCCCGCGTACCCTTTGGACAGGAGGCTGTATGGGCCCTACAGTCGGTCTGGAAGACGTAAAGAAGAAAAAAGTCCCTACCGGGACTCGAACTCCAACCGCTCGGCCGTCGCTATACCGATTGAGCGATCTCGGCTCCACTAATGATTAGTATAACACCAAAACGCACAAATTGTAACAATCTTTGCCTTCACTGTTGCCACGCTACTTCTATACATAAAATGACTGGGTGGTCGCAAGGGGGAAAGGTACATTCGGTAAAGGTTCACGCTGTATTGCCGACTGAAATACTGCCGCTTACTGCTGCCATCTACTGATTCTATTCATATTTAACCTCAAATCCATCCAACAACTGGGATTAATTTTGTATTCAGTTTCCATGGAAACAACGAGCCGACAGACACCGCCCTACTTAGACCCGTATATCGCTGTCACATTCCTGATGCAGCCAGGGCGGATGGGATCGTACGGAGGAAATATTCCCGAACCAGCAACAAAACCACCCCCGGAATACGTTCTTCACTTAGAAGCTGACAGTTGTTTACATAATTCCAGAGACAGGACAAAAGAGAGTGCGCAAGAAAGAAAGAAAGAAAGAAAGAAAATAACCCGGAATACTGTCCCTAGATGATTCTCATTATGAAACCCGCACATCGCTACAGTCTGTCTATTTAGACCTGGCCACTCTCAACAGAATGCGCAGTGGATTTGGTCAAGTCCACTCACTGAGATGAGGATTGTGCGGTGTATAACAGGGTCTTGGTTACAGTGCGTCACCCGCCCCCATTTCTGAATGCAGCTGCAAACATTGCCCTGATACTTGTTGCCATTAAGTGATTTTCCTCATGCGCAACCCAGTGGCCAGGTAAAATAATACGGCCTGTACTTTCACTCATGTTATAAATTAAATGAAGAGTGCCCAGTCACATGGGAAAACATTTCATAATATAACCTGTGACGTCAGCCTGTCAGTGTACCCTGATGATCACAATTGGATTGGTATTTCATATCTGTCAAATCTTCTACCGCGATTACAAAGATTTGTTTGCAGCTGGGGAAAATGGAACTGCATGCATGGACATAGAGGGCTTGAGGTTCTCACCCCGGTAGCTACAAAAGGAACTATCTTCTGGGATGTGTGGCCGTGTAGCGCGGTAGAAGCTTTTCGACGTTTCGGATGAAAGTACTGCTTCAATCTTCAGGCTCTAGGAGTAAGCCTAGCTAGGACTTTGAAGAGGTCTGGGTCTACTTTCCCGCTTCCCTGGCTCACTCTTGAACAGTGAAGTTGGAAGCAACAAGTTAAACAGTTGCGTGACGAGCCGCGAGACATGACGTAAGTCCGAAAGTCGAAATTTGATTCGTAAGCCCGAAAATTCGGAGCTTAATTCTGATGGGTGTTAACTTAATGCGATCCAGAGTCATGGGTCGATGTATGACTCTGCAGTATATATACTGACAGAGACTCGAATCTTGACATTTGCGGGGTGAGGTATGAAGGGACAGTCAAGTGGAGGGGAAGGGACGTAAACAGATCCACCTACTTCGTATAGCATCAGTTAAGAACAAATTGGCCACTAGCGTGCTTGTGTGGAGCTCATCTGAAGTGAACTAAAGGAATTATGTTTTGGCTCAGGTAGTAGTTGCTAATCCACCGCTCCTTTAATAATTCCGATTTCCTGCATTCATCACAGCCCTCAAGATTAGTCTTGTAAAAAAGTAAAGGTATCCCTGTAACAGGCCGCGGAGGCCCAGAGGGTTGTGAGACGTCGAGGTTCCCACATTTTCTAGACCATCGGCTCTCGGATGGCTGTAAGGTTGTCCGCCCTTTACCACCCAGAAAGATTCATGGTACTCATTTCTGTTACAGTTTGAGTCGACCCCAGGGTCATAGTGCGGATGGAAGGATTAGGTAATTTGAAAAAAAATCCAATGACATCATCGCGATTCGATCCCGCGACCTTCCGGCTTGTAGCATAGTGCCTCAACAAACTACGCTACCGCGTGCTGTATGTATGTATATATATATATAATTCACCTACCTCATGCTCCCTAATCTAACCTCCCTAACAACATCCAGTAGCAGTAATAGATATACACACAAAAAGTGTTGCAGGTGTACCAATCTGACAGCGCTAATTACACTAGAGCATGCAGTGCGCACACAGAGGCCGCTGCGAGGTAGCCTACTCCGGCGGAAAACATGACAGTAGGAGGCAGTTTCTGAAAGGTTCCCGCCGTTACAAATATCTTCACAAACATCTACAGAGTTCACAACTACACTACAACATTTACACGTACGTCATGTACTCACAAACGGAGTCCCTGGCTTGGCCTGGAAAAAACAAAGGACATTATAGCATCCTTGTATCGTCAGTAGAGTTCCCTTAAGCTCGCCAACTTTGCCCTCTGCAAGTATATTCAGTTTCACATCAAAATGAATCCTTACATTTCTTGCATAGTCCCCATACGTTTCTTCGTCTTTCGTTGTACAGGCAAAAGGTAAAGTTGGCCCTGTATGTAACTAATTGAGCAATACGCCATGGAAGCGTATGGGGGAGTGGATGTATAGTTCCATGTGTTCTGGACCTAGGCACTAGTTGAAGGTGAGTGGTCAGCTTCACGCCCCTGCCGTTTTACCCACGGGGAAAGAGCGCCCGATACCCACCGGTTAGGAGGCTGGGTGGGCCCCAGAGCCGGTATCGACGACGTGAATAAGAGAAAATTCTTGATCCTACCGTAACTCGAACTCTGATCTCTCGGTCGTCGAACCGGTAGCCAGTCGCTATACCGACTGAGCTGTTGCAGTTACTGCTGAAATCCTTTAGATAATACGCACCCACCTGTTCTGTCCAGATATTAGAATCAACTGACAGGTTGGAGAAAACTGCATAATGAGGAGCTTCATAACTTGTACTCTTCTCCATGTATAATGATCAAGTCAATGAGGATGAGGTGGGCAGGGCATGTAGCACGCATGAAAAACGCAATCCATATAGATTTTCGATGGGTAAGCCAGAAGGAAGGAGACTTCTTGTAAGACCTACAAGTGATTGGAGGATAATATTAAAATGGATTTTAGAGAAATATTATGGGATTTTATGGACTGGATTCATCTGACTCAGGATACGGACTAGTAGCGGGGTCTTGTGAACAGGGTGCTGAACCTTCGAGTTCCATCAAATTTTGGGAAACTCTTGAGTAGGTGAGCGACTGGCGGCTTCTCGAGGAAGAATCGGCTGTTTGGAGTTAGTTATCTAAGACCGACCAACTACTTATTTTTGGAATGTTGAAGAGTTCCAGTTCCTGCTTGACGGCTCGGTTTCCCTGCAGCCTGCTACAGACCTCACGAACCTCACGAACCTCATTTCAGCTGACCCACTTCGGTTCTCCCGCTACTGAGTTAGCATTCATGCAAAGTCTTCCCCCATTCTACACTCCGCTTCAAGTCTGCAGCTACGGCCTTCTTCGTTCTAACACCACCCAGTTCGAAGAAGCCTGGCGTTTCGAAGGAACACATCGCCACCATCTTCAGAATCGAAAAATAACCAAGCAAGAAAGCAGCAGAAACAAACCACAAATTAAACTACTCATGCGTCTGGTTTAGTTTTCGACCCTGAATATGGAGGGGATTTTCCTCCGAAACGTCCGGATTCTCTCCGAACCCAGAAGATTTCATAACCACCACCCTAAGAGCCTCAGATCCAACAAATAAAATATAAATCTTTCTTTATCCTAATCTTTTTCGATTCTCGGCTGAGACACCAGATATCCTGACTATGGCCTTTGTGCTACTTCTCAGTCACTCCGGTCATATTCGGGGATAGGACCTCCTAAGTCATTCCCAATTCATCTACCATCCGACGCTACGTGGTATAGATAAGCTAGACGCTACTGAAATAATGTCATCTCATTAGTAATTCTTATCGTGTTACGCGCGTAATTTAAAAAGAGATCACACAAAACCCCGTATCAATTCTTATGCTAAATATCTCATAGCTTCTGGCTTACGCTAACGACAGAACGAGTGACGTGTCTGGAAGTCCGCTAGACACGCGATAAGTTAGCGTGGAAGCGACTTACAGAACACAGGCACGAGAATCCAGGTCCTTATGAAGGTGAGCAGTAGGATTGCTGTATCCTGACCCGAGGGGCAAACGAGGTACAAAGGATTCGAAGAAACTTACCGCCTCGAACTTCATAGTCCGCCTAAACTTTGGTACTTATAAGCAGATTTCAAGGTCTCATATCCCCTTCCAAAAATCGTTATCTTCATTAAAACATATTCGTTTTTTATGTGGTGTGATTATAGACAGGGTTTTGGTTTGATGATCGAATTATTTTGCATGTGTCCACACTTTACATTTCACTATTACACACACAATAGTGTCCAAAGTCACGTTGTCACTGTCGTTGCTTCGTAGCGGCTTCCAACGATGGATGTTTCTCTTTCTGTGGGTTCCTGAACTGACCCTCTGCCTCAGCTACCAGTTTCTAACTGAAACATCTCGCAAGAACTGACCCCAGCAGTTATCAAACTCGCTTGCATTTAAAGTCAAAGTCACATTGCGACTGACGGTCAGTCAGTCAGTAAGTCTTGGTGTCGAGCCCCATCTGGAGCTCATGACCAGATAATTATTACTGTTTGACAGTTACGGTCTTGTTTCTGTGGGGCGCCATCTCTGACGAGAGGACGGGTCTGTCTTTTGTATATGCTGCTGGTCCTTGCCAGAGCAGTGTTTCTCGGGACCAAGTCCCTTGGGACTCGCGACCATATTTTACTGTCTCAGATTTGAGACTTCCACTTACATCACTAAAATGTGCTGTTTATAAAATCTCTGCACGTACCGCACAGGAAACAGCTTTCCTTTGTTGCAGTGCAATTATTGCATTCGTGTCTGTTGGGGTGCTAGAAATATAAATGTTTTATCTGAAATCCAGCAATTCGGAAGACTAGCTTTTAATGGGTTTCTCGAATGCCGGGGTTGCGCGCTATATCGTGGTGTAACTGAGGGGAAATTGTTGTACTAGACTCTATTCGGCCCCTTTAATAACGATTAATTTTGTGACGCGGTTGTCTCATTCTCACCAATTCTTTATTTAACTTTGTTCCTCGTAGCATCACAGAATTACCCGTCACTTCGAGTCTGGCACCAACATTACCATCACGAAACTAATCCGCTGTCAGTCCTTAATCCGGCCTTTACTGCGTCATCATTCTAGCTAAGCCCCTACTGCTTTGGCACTGGGAATATCCCCCTACCTTCTAATGGCCTCAAACACCCTGGTCGCAATTTTACGTGTTTGCCGAGATAAAATGCATTTTTATTCAAGTACAGTCCAATTCGCAACACGATCACAGATTCAGTGAAAACACGTCAAGTACCGACTCCATCTCTCGCAGAGTTTCGCTTCCATTAAAGCATGCAGGTCGAGGGCTGGGCTAGCTCAGTCGGTATAGCGACTGGCTACAGGTTCAAGGGCCGTGGGGTGCGAGTTCGAGTTCCGGTAAGGGCAAAATATTTTTCTTCTCCACGTCGTCCAGAACGGTTCTTGAGCCGTGGGCCTGTTTCCCCCGGGGGGGAGTGGTTAAGCGGCCAGGGAGTGAAGCTGACCACTCATCTCCATCTAGTGCCGAGGTCAAGAATATATGGATCTATACACCCAAACCACCATACGTCTTCATGGCGTAGTCACTAACTCGTTAAGGACGAATTCAAGGTGGAATGGACAGGCCATGTAGAAAGCGTGTGGAGACAAGGAATTCCTATTGATATGACAAATTATTTGAACTTAATTCTCTGTTTTATAATATACAAATTTCTGTAAGCTACAAAATAGCGTAGTTGGTATAGCGACTGGCTAAGCCTGGACAACCGAGGGGTGGGGGTTCGAGTCCCGGTAGGGTCAAGAATATTCTCTTCTCCACACCGTCCAGACGGATCCTGGAGCCCACCCAGCTTCCTATCCAATGGGTACCGGGCCTCTTTCCCCAGGGGTAAAGCGGCCGGGGGGTGAAGCTGACCACTCATCTCCAAACTGGTGCCGAGGTCAAGAAAATGTGGATCTATACATCCACAACCCCAAACGCCTTCATGGCGTAGTGCTTAATTGGTTAAGCCTGGGACCATATGGAGAAGAGAAACTTCTTAACCCTACCGGGACTCGAACTCCGACACCTCGGCAATCCAGCCAATAGCCAGTCGCTATCCCGGGTGTAGGAACCAGAAAGGGCTAGTTAAATGACAGAATCGTTATATAAGTAATTCTTGCGAAGTGCAATCGATATGAACCGGCATTCTGCCTTTCCAAATCCCTAGTTTATGTATGTGGAACTATTTCAGGAACTACCAAGAAGAAACTGAACGGAAACAGTGTTAGACTGTACGGTTGCCTGTGTTCCCGTGTTGTTGTCAGACGGAATGTTCAACTTCGCTGAAGGTTGCCCTTGTGCTTAAATACGTAATTAACTCTTTAAAGAATGTCAAAGTCAAAGTCAAAGTCAAATTTATGTTACGACCGACGGTCAGTCGGCCAGTCTGTCTTGGCGTCAAGCACCCCTCTGGGGCCCAAGACCAGATCCTTATTACCGTCAGACAGCGGCAAGTTTGTTCATGTGAGGTACCCTCTCCGACGAGAGGACGGGTCTGTTGTTTATGACTAGATGGAAGTTTGTGGTCAGTTTCACGCACAAGCCGTTTTAACCCCTGTGAAGAAGATCCACTGTACCCATTCGATACTGGGCAGGAGTAGAGAAAAATTCCTTGTCTCTGCCGGGTATCGATCCCAGGCCGTCCAACCAGTAGCGTAGTCGCTATACCGACTGCGCTATCCAGACAGAGAAATGAAGACAGATGTGGCGAAATTCTGCCTGAACAAAAAATAGAATTGGAAGAAGCAGATCCAAATTGTGGATGGAGTCATGTGACTTAGTCCTACACGGCGAGAGAGATGTGGGAACTCACGAGAAGTGTTACAGAGGAGGCCGGAACAGGCTAAGGCTGAATCAGCGCATTAGCTACGTGTAAGACAGGGGTCACAGGGGCATGGGCATCCACGTAAGACGAGCTTTTGCTGCGTGCCACACACTTGTGCGGGTTCTCATGACCTTGATTGAACCCCCGTTCAATATGTTCGCTCATTTATTCATGGACGTGACGTAACAGAGCCTCACAGTGTCCATCAACGCTCACACAACATGAACACTAACAAACTGCTACAAATGTACATGTCACGTGTCTTGCGTTAACCGACGGCCAGCAGACTTAATTATCGCCACTGATACGCACGTCAGTGAGGGAAGCTGCTGGAGCCCGGAGACTGGTGTGACGCCGTACAGTGTGGCAGATATTTATCGCTGTTTTGGAAAACTGTACTGCGTTCATCTCCAGAACAGAAGAGTGACGTAACTGCTTGTACTTTTATAGATACGTGCCAGCGTTTCGGAGGAACCTACTACTTCCAGCTTCAGGGTAGAAAAGCAGATGTCGCGCCGTGTAGTCTGGTAGGTGGTGGCGTAGTTGGTTGAGGCATTATGCTACAAACCGGAAGGTCGTTGCATCGATTCCTGACGAGATCATTGGATTTTTCAATTGACCTAACCCTTCCAGCTGCACCATGGCCCTGGGGTCGACTCGCCTCTAACAGAAATGAGTACCAGGAATTTTCCTAGGGGTAAAGGGCGGCTGGCGCGTAAGACTCACAACCTCACCGCCATCTGTCTAGAGAATTTGGGAGCTTCGACGTCTCACAACCCTATGGGCCTCCAAGGTCCATATTCCACCCCACCTCCACACGGCAGTCTCTCAAATTCAAAGTCAAAGTCAAAGTCACATTGTGACTGACGGTCAGTCAGTAAATCTTGGTGTCGCGCCCCATCTGGGGCTGATGACCAGATACTGTATTTATTAATGTTTGACAGTTACGGCCTTATTTTTAGGGGGGTGCCCTTTCTGACGAGAGGACGGGTCTGTCATTTGTACATTCTGCTGGTCCTTGCCAGGGCAGTCTTCCTCGAGTCCGAGTCCCTTGGGACTCACGACTTTATTTTACTGTCTCAGATTTGAGACTTTCCTTTTCGTCGCCTCCTACGACTCGCAGGGTCACGGTGGAGGTGATAGTTTTAATGATGTTACTAATTACATCAGGATATAAGCAAAAAAAAAAGAGATGACGTGTATTTCCTGTTACTGCATTGATATACTGTTCTTTTTTTTTATTTTTCCTGCAAACATTTTCAAAAAAAGTAAGCCCTCTAAACTGGAAAGAAAGCCCCTGGGAGCTGCGTGTACTATGTTATAGAACAGAATCATTCCCATCTTGCTGTCCTTGTGGAAGGAGCACCGAAAGACCCAGGAGAATCTTTTACGATGTGCGGGTACAGTACGGACCTAAAATTATACAGTGTATACGGCCAGTACATCTCGCTATGCAACAGACATTTCTGAAATTTTTTTGTCAGCTTCGGGTGAAGTTTTGACTTCAACCGAAGTTAATATGAGAAGCTTCACTCACTCTCACTCATGGAGCTGAACCTTTCTTGAGGAGCCGCCAGTTGTGCAGACACTCAAGAACTTCCCAGCATTTTTTGGAACCCGAAGGTTTATTACCGTGTTCACAAGAGCCCTCCACTGGTCCCTATCCTGAGTTAGATGAATCCAATACATGCAATGCCATTATATCTCTCTAAGATTCATTTTAATATTGTCCACCCATCTACGTCTTGTTCTTGCTACTGGTCTCTTTCCTTCTGGCTTTCCCACTCATATCCTATATGCATTCCTTCTCTCGCCATTCGCTCTACATGTCCTGCCCATTTCGTCCTCTTTACTTTTGTATATACATGATTTTTTAAATAAATAAAAAAGGAAAATGACGATCTTTCAGTTGATACATTTCTGGTGGTATTTCAAGGTCATTTGCGGAAATTATTGTGGGTTTCTCTGTGCGTCTTCACCAGGTGGTACGAGGCCGGGCATATCAGTCTAGAAGTTAAATATTTTAGCAGACGCTCTCACCTCCAATGATGTTTTTCCTGTAATCGTCACGGGGGTTCATCATGACTGCCGTGCCTCCAGCGGTTGCCCGAGTAGAGGGTGTGTTAGCTCCCGCCAGCTGTACAACACAGAACACTTTCGTGTAACACAGATACCATGAATAAACAGACTGATCTCCAAACAAATTAAATTAAAGTATGTGGACATTTCACCTAAACGACTGTCATAACAACTAACAAACATACTGACTGTAATGAAGAGAGTGCAGCTTGAGAAGCTAACAGTCGCTCAGCTACATCTACTCCAGAAATCCCCCCCACCCTATAGAACACGAAAGTTCGATGCGGTGTAAAGCTCAAGGTGGACTGGGTGACCATGAATTCGTCTGTTTCTGTTCTCGTTTTTGTTCGGAAGTTTTCGGATAAGCGATTTCCTGTTAACTTTACAAACCCAGTTTAAAGAATGTTCTTCATTATAATAAAAATACCTAGAGGCGAAATTTCTTAACGGTATTTTTCGTAAAGCAAGTACTGTCTGTACTGCTTGAAAATGCGAAGTGGAGTGAACTGGCTAAGAATAACAAAAAGGCATATTTTTTTGTGGTGTCAGAGATTAATCTTGGAGCACACCCATTACAAATGTTTTCCAATATTTTCAAATCAATTTTTCCGTAGGTGCGATAAAAATATTAGCCTTCTGGGATGTGACGCCGTGTAGTTTGGCGTAAAAGTACCAATATTTCGGTGGGATCTTCCGCCTCCATCCTCAGGGTTGGAGGTAAACGAAAGTTGTTCTTTTTTAGCTGTTTTATGAAGCTTTCAATATCTAAACCGGTAGTATCAAAACTTATTTCGGGCCACCGCTGCCCTTGGTTCCACAAACTCATCCCCAGTGCCCCCTAGCCCATACTACAAAAAGCAATCTCAGAATAACGGTTTGCACAACCCACTAAGGATAGAGTAGTTGGTTGAGGCACTATTCTACAAGCCGGAAGGCCACGGGTTCAAGTCCCGATGAGGTTATTGGATTTTTTCAATTGACCTAACCCTTCCAGCCTCACTATGGCCCTGGGATCGACTCAGCCTCTAACAGAAATGAGTACCAGGAATCTTCCTGTGGGGTAAAAGGCGGCCGGCGCATAAGGCTGACAACCTTACCGCCATCTTTGAGCCGATTGTCTAGAAAATGTGGGAGCCTCGACGTCTCACAACACTATGGGCCTTCACGACCTCTTACAGGGATAGCTTTACTGTTTCCTTACTAAGGAAGATAACAATACAATAAAATGCCACAATAAGTCAACTGCTTCGCTGCCAGTGAATTCTTAATGCGATGAATGGGCTTGATGAAGTGATACCAGTTTCCCAGTGCTGGGTTTGAAGTCACTTCAAACGTAAATAAGAGGACAACGCGCTCGTATGGGCCGGCCTCCAGCCCCTGCCGCTCCTTCCCCTTAGCGCCCAATAAGTAATCCCACCGCTCCCTAGAGGACAGAGGAGCCCACTTCGGGAACCACCGATATAGACTGCATAGCATCGGATGGCAGGATTTGCAAGGAAGCAATTGAGGCCTATTGCAGGCTATTGCCTGCAAGACATGAGGAAAAGAAGGCATTCACGTCTAGAGGAGTACCATTAGATCATCTTAATCGATCAGCAGGTTCTTCCGAAACGTCAGGACGTCCGTAACTACACGACTACAGTAATCTTGATATGACCCGCCCACGACACGTCAGATCCAGTAATGTGATAGCTGGCCACAGGGCGTTCAACTTACGTAAGTGGTCAATAAAACCAGGAAGATGTTAGGTAACGGCAGTTGCCAGTCGATACGTACGTTTGCTGAGGCACAGGTCGGCGAATTTCAGATGACGCGGAACGACTCACCACAGTGTTCCGTTCTCTCCGTCCCTTCAGCCGTAATAAAGCCACGCTTTCAGCTGTTTTGGCAAAGGGAAGTCAGCGTGGGTAACGCAGTGCGCATGTCAGCACGGCATGCAAACCGCGAGGACAACGCACGTTCGATAAGCGTACACGAGGCAAGACAAGTAGCGTTAGTCCAAATGAATCTTAACATTTGTTTGTTAGCCCACTTTCCTTACTTACTTACTTACTTGTGCAGCTGAGCCCTTCTTGAGGAGAAGCCAATTCTGCAGATACTCAAAAATTTCCCAGCATTTTATGGAACCCGAAAGCTCATTACCGTGTTCACAAGCGCCCTCCACTGGTCCCTATCCCGAGAAAGATCAATCCATCCCATCCCATCCTATCTCTCTAAAATACATTTTAATATTGTCCACCGACCTACGCCATGGTCTTCCCAGTGGTCTCTTTCTTTCTGGTTTTCCCACCAATATCCCATATGCATTCCTCTTCACCCATTCGTGCTACATGCCCTGCCCACCTCATCCGCCTTGACTTGATCACTCTAATTACACTTGGAGAAGAGTACAAGTTATGAAGCTCCTCATTATGCAGTTTTTCCCAACCTCCTGACACTTCATCACTCTTTGGTCCAAATATTCTCCTCTATACCCTAAGTCTATCTTCCTCCCTTAATGTCAGAGACCAAGTTCCACACCCATACAGAACGCCTACATCCCTTATTTAAAAAAATAATATAGGTTCATGAGATCACAGTGTCCTATTTTATCATCCTGTCGCACTAGCAAGCATGTAGAGCCATTGCTAATGACATTGTAAACATCGCCCGTTGCTAGGCAACAGATTCCTAACACACATTAGTGGACTAACTGGGACGCGATGTTCTCTACGCGGCCCGTGCGACAGCTGCGTGAAGCAACAATGGAAAAAATGTTCAAGTGGTGTTTGCCACTTCCTTACTTCCTTATCTTACTTTTCGTCATTGAAGAGGGAGACAATAAATTCCTCTGAAACAATGGTAAACTTTTACCAGACTGCACGAAGTCAAGTCTTCTTCTTGATTCATGTTCAATATGTTCTGTCTTTAAATATATTAGCAATAACTGGCGACCCTTTTCCAGGGGGTAAAGCAGCCGGGGAGTGAAGCTCACCACTCACCTCCATCTAGTGTCCAGGTCAAGAATGTTAAAGGTAAAGCTTGTCCCTGTACTTAATTAAGCACCACGCCATGAAGACGTATGGAGGAGTGGATGTGTAGATCTACTTTCTCTTGACCTCGGCACTAGATTGAGATGAGTGGTCAGCTTCACGCCTCTGCCGCTTTACCCCCGGAGAAAGAGCTCCCGGTACCCATTGAACAAGAGGCTGGATTGTGGTGGAGTTATATCTCCACTCTCCCATACGTCTTCATGGCGTGGTGCTTAATTGATTAAGCACTGGGAATTACGTGTGAATGTACAACCAATGGAACTGAAAGAGCACAGCAAACCCTCGCCAATCCGGTTACGGTTAATCCAGACTGCGGATAATCCGGATCGAAACATGAAAAATGAAAAATGCTGTTCAAAGTTGAGTACGCACTTTAAAAGACACGTGGAACTTAGGAGCAAGAGGACTTTCAGACTGTGTTGAGGGCAGCTGGAGAGACTGAAACAGCGCAAGAAAATATCCAAGATTGGCTTCAGCTGGATGAAGGAGACCCTGGATTTCAGCTGCTGACAGAGGAATAGGTTTCTGTAGTGATCTTTTTGTATTTATTTGTTTTCATCAGCGTACGCGGTAGCGTAGTTAATTGAGGCACTATGCTACAAGCCGGAAGGTCGCGGGATCGAATCCCGAGGAGGCGGAATTTTTCAGTTTACCTAATTCTTCCAGCCGCACTATGGCCCCGGGGTGGACTCAGACTCTAACAGAAATGAGTACCAGGAATCTTCCTGGGGGCAACGGACGGCTGAACAGTAAGGCTGACAACCTCTCCACCATCTGTGAGCCGATTGTCTAGAAAATGTGGGAATTTCAACATCCCACAACCCTATGGGCCTCCACGGCCTGTTACAGGGATATCTTTACTTACTTTACTACCTACATTCTTAAGTTTTCCATTTATTTGTTTTCTAAGTTCCTTCTCGTCTTTTAGGCCGACTTTCGCTTCATTAATCCGGATTATCTTCTGGGATGTGACGACGTGTAGCTTGGTAACTCTTTAGACACCCGCATGCCCCCATCTTCAGGTCGGAAGAGTATGCTAAACACCAAGAAGCAAGACATTTAACAAACTACACAGGGCCACGTACCAGAAAACAATAGACGAACATTATAGTTACCACTGAATGAACCTCAAAGCTTGTTTTGGGAGCTTGAAAAATAATATTCATAGACTATAATGTTATATTTTAGCGTCCTGTTGCACTGATTTATGTCCATGATTTATTCTGACCGTCTTACAGTGCATACTAGACTAGTTAACACCGATGTATGAACTTCTGAGGTTATCTGCATTCGGAAACGAGAAATTGTGCAGAGGGTAAGATTTGTAAAGGAGCGACTGTGATAGCTTTCTGTTGTGTAATTGGGGCATGTGTACCTGCAACAGAGAGTTACGAAGGTTTCAGAATGACAGCGCCAACGGAAACGACTAAGCGCAGAGGAGATGGAACAAAGGGGTCTTTGTGTATTTTAAGGCAAACGTAGTCCACAGTTCACGTGACAGTTTCGTTCCAAAAATAGAAGTTGCTGAGAGTGCAACTGCATAAATCGAACATAATCTCTCCTCCTCCCCTCGCACTCCTCCGACTACGCCTAAAAACTACTCCACCCCCCTCTTCGCCGTCACGCACCATCAACCGGCAAGACGTTAGCAATAAAGCGAGCGAATTTAATTTAAATCCGTCTAACTCAAATTCAGAATATTAAATTAAATCGAATTTTTCCGAGTCGTATATTTTTTTATTGCTAGTGGGGTGAGATTAAGTCCCTTGTACTGCGGCCACTTCTGGCCTATTGCACCAGCCCCAGATGATAAGTGAGGGTGATTGTGGAGCAATTGGTGGAATGAAGATGGGCAGGGGAAACCGAAGTACTCGGAGAAAACCTGCCCCAGCGTCACTTTGTCCACCACAAATCCCACTTGACCAGACCCGGCATCGAACCCGGGCAGCCGCGATGAGAAGCCAGCGACTAACCGCTTGAGCTATGGCGCGGGCCTTAGTGTCGTACATAACGACATGGATAAATG